CCCCCAACTACATTTTCACCCAAATTTCTATTGGACCCCGATGCACCATTGAGGTTCTTTTTCACCCACTTATTCCATGTGATAGAGGAGTGACGAAAGGTGGCTCACAGAAAATTTCCAAAAGAAAAACTGCGAAGGAATTTTCGGCGGAAAGAGGTGATGAATCATTTTAAAAGCAAATATATGACTATTTCACATGAGAAAATTTGGGCATGCAAAGAAGTGCTCATCAATAAGCTAGCCATAAAAATGTGTTACTGCTCTTGTCGAGCGCTAACAGACATGGGGAGAGAACATTTTTTAACTCTACATGCTTCAGTACGCATTCAGTTGGAGGGATATGGACTTCCTGAAGGGAAAATTTGAACCTCTTCATTCCAAACACCTTTTGATTTGTTCCTTTAGAAAGAACGTTTCCACAGACGAAGCCAGGAATATCCTAGGTGAAGGCATTACAACCACCAACCCTTTAAACAACGAAGATTTAAGGGGATCTCTGATAGAAGCTAAAAATGACAAATTTATGTACAATGAATCAACAATGAGCTACCGAGGGTTTTCATGGAATCTTCGCGTTTCATAAGTAACCGCGGAAATTCTGCACACTTCACAAACCCACCTCTCGATTGGGCAATTCTGGTTGGTTGCAGTAGTTTTGATCCAGATGATGGAGCAATATTTGATGCTTGTGTGCTCGAGACAGGGCGCAACGGGGACGGCAGCCTGGAAATAAAGTTGTCTGTTTTATAATGGCTAGTTCTAGATGTAAAACCAAACGGGCAATAGCAAAAAGGGAACAAAACGATTCCCTAGACATGGCTGATGACTGAGCCTTCGAGAGAAATTCGGAAAGGCTGTATAGTAAGTTTGGTGGAAGAAACCCCCGAGGAGCATTCAAGCTCACATCTATCCCCGGTTTTTCTTTTCGGTTAGATACTGCCCAAGTGAGCTAGGCGAGGATCTGCTCACTTTGACGAGTGTCTATGCCGGCGATCTCTGGGGAATACTCGTCCGAAACGCTTATCTGCATGAGATTTATCAAAATGAACACCATGTCAGTTATGAAGCATACCAACATAAGGGGTACTCTAACGGACATAGACATAACACGACCAACAAAAATGTGGAATAGCCGTTGAGGTCTTCTCCTTCAGCTGTTTTTCAAAGATTCCTGACTATTTGCAATCGTAACTCGTGGAACCAGAACTTTTTTATTTTTTTTCTCCTTTCTATCAACCTTGCAATTGGGGAATGAGGTGGTAAAGATAAAGACGATATCAACGAGCATACGATTATGATTGCCCAACGATCAGATTGGGGTTTGAATTTTCTTCATGGTCATTAGAAGTGGGTGTAATAAAGCCAAATGCGTGGTACCCAACGCACTACTCTGAGATAAATCCTGGGCTCTTCTCGGAAAAAATTCGAAGAAATGTCTCTTTTCAATCATTACTTTTATCAAACAGTACGACGGCTTTAGAGCAGTTCTTCTGCTCACTGTTCGCATCACCCTACTGACACTGGCCCCTCTCCACTTTTTTGAGTGGTAGTGGTCTTTCACACCATTACCATGTTTCCTTTTGGTCGAACGATCCGTCAAACATGATATCCTATTCTTTACTATCACCCATTCAAAGTAAAATTTCTGGTTTATTTTTTGCCAAACCTGAGAGCTCTTTTCAATATAAGACTAGAAGCAGAAGCACAGTTCACGGTGAGTTTATGGTATTCGATTTCAGACGATTAATAGAATTGGCAGACTAGAACAACGCCAAAAGAAGTGAAGAAAACAAGAAAGTCCTAGAAAAATGTAAGGCTTCCAAGAATTAGTAAGATTAGGTTGAACGACAGTGTTACGAAAGAAAGCTGGTTGGAAGGAATATTTGATGAACTGTCCGAACGCGCGCGCCACTGCATACTGCTGCAATACGGTTCCTGCTTGCAAGGTGTGGGTCCCGGCGCGAAATGTAAACCACTACAGCTTTTACANACATTTCAGAACTCATCCGTCTCAAGTGTGTACGTCGGTTGAGTGGTTTTAGGGCCCTTATTATATTGGCGTCTTTCTTTCCCACTGCTTCTCTGGGATCATCCTTGAGGTCATAGGTTGATCCTAGAGAGGAATCTCAGGAACGATATTCAACGTAAACTATGCCTCTGATGGTAGGTGATATCAGATTCAGACAACACTATCCCCTTCTTCCCTAAAAAAATTCGCACCTTCGACACTTGAAGGGAGAGGGACGAAGCGTGCCTTCCTCTGCAGTTGAAGCAGACTTCATGAACTGCTCGTTGCTCTTATTGGTAGACTGCTCAAAGGCTTCCCAACCTTTCCCCACAGTTGTACAAAGCAAACACCACCTATTTCCATCAGATGAGTTACGCAAAAACGTGTTGTGAACTCCGACGCGATCGTTTCTTTTTGAATAAGGTTGGGAACAGCATTAGTTACAGCCTGTTACAACCGGCAGCAAGAGACTCAAGATCATCTTCTCTCCTAACAGTGACTTGTACTATAAGTCTTAATGAGTGCAATGATAACTAGAATTCCTGAAGCGAGGTCATTCTCGTGGAACGTACTCATTGGAAGTCTGTATGCGTAGTTTTGAACTACCACCATACATGTCACTGACAATACATAGGATATGATAGATCGCTGGAAGGTGAAAATGGAGGGCAAGCTAGATGAATGGGCTCTGCTCAGAACCGAGCCGTATCGGCTTTGATGAGCCGACATCCCAATTTTATAGCCAATGCCTTGGCCGCACATCTCATTTTCACTCGCTGTCCCCCGTCGAAATTGTCAGTGTTTTTAGTCTGAATGGCAAAAAAGGGTGGCCAGAGATGGAACGACGTGCACTGATAGCTTTCGGCGATTGTAGTAGCTAACATATTTGCAAAAAAGCGCATGCAACGGATATTTCGGTGAAAATGGCTCTTCTAACCGGCTGCACACCATTTTTGCTAAAATGGCCGTCAACAAGTGCGCATAATCAAATGATCTTATTTTGTAAGTAATAGCAATGGCGTTTTGATCAATTCGACCAGGAGATAGAAAGGAGATATATAGTGATCGGCGTATCAGCCCACTTCCGAAGGACGTCCGATACCTGGGAAGTGACACAGCCGCTGATGGTAGCGTGGATCAGGCTGTGAAAGCTCGAATAATCTCGGCATGGACGGAGTGGAGGTAGTCCACTGGTCCCTGTGATCGGCGGTGCTCCAGGATGCTCGAAGGAAAGGTGTACAAGACAATAGTGATGATCCACGGTGGCAGTGCTGGCCCATAAGTGGAAATGATGGAAGGTTCCCTTTGCTGAAATGAAGATGCTCAGATGGGCCTGCAGTTGAACGTGACTGGAGCGGATCGGAAACAAAGCTTCAGAGCGGTCATGCAAGCGATGGAGCCCGAGTCTCAAGGGGTGCGACCACGAGGAGCTCCAAGGAAGGGGTAGCTGGACGTGATCAGGAACGACCTCGTCGACGCTCAAGTAACGGCAGAAGATGCCGTAGATAGAAGGAAGTGGAGTAAACTGACAAGAATAGCGAACCTCGCGACGGTGCGGGATCAACGCTAGGGAAAAGAACTAGAAGCCGTATCAGCTCAATTGAACAAGCATTTTTTGCAACCTTTGAATCAAGTCCAAATTAAATTGGAGGGTTAGGTGGTGTTGTTGGGACTGGTTTGTCTACAAAGGATGGCAACGTGATGCGAGACTTGAGGCAAGCTTTTTGTTTAGCATCCTCAAAGCATCCCAGCCCAACCGGCACTACCCGTTCTCATCTAAATAGGGGAATTTTTTTTTGATTGATAGAAAGCAGTTATCAATGTGTAACAAGAGCCAACTCGGAATGCAATGTTCGTTGATGGTTTATATGAATTACAGTTAAAATGTCAACTGATACAAGTTCGTAGAAGAAAGAGAACGAGTATCTCAAGTCCTCAAGTCGACTTTCAAGGAGATAAGTTCGTAAAATCCTGAAATGTACCCAGATGTGTCTACGGCTGAAGCCGCTGGACAGTGAAGATCCCTAGTGAAAGGACGCGAGATGCTTTTTGAATCAATTGTGGGTCATTGAAATAGCTCCAAACGACTTTTTCATATTTACGAAGTAAATGAGGAATAACAAAATGAGAACGTACGGTGGAGCCGACACAAACAGCAATTTCTCGCTTCTGTACTTATTTCTACCTTAGCCGGGAATTTGCACCGTTTCGGTGCCAAACCCGCTCTCCAGAATGCAGCGGATGACGAAGTTCGAAAGCGATTCTCCCTATGAGGTTACTGTTCAAACCTATCACAGGATCACGCTAGCACTGGATGTTCCTGACTGCACACTTTCAAGGAAAAAGAGAAAACTGTGAACAGCGGGAGACGAGGACGACTTGGATATTGTGAGAACTTTCAATCATCAGTTTTGAGGGCTAGAATCAGACCAGTTCAATATTTGTATAAACTGATGAGACAGAGTAGGAGGCGACTCGACGGCGCCTTCATTCTGTTGATTCACCATTAATGGCGCCCAAATTTGTGGCCGAGCAGCCGTGGATGGCCAGTAAATAACCAGGAAAGAAGATAAAAAGGCCCTCCATTCTTTGATTAAAAGAGCCACCCACGAGGTCGATGCATTGCAGAGCACGACACAACAACGCGGAAGGGTGGCTGGCTTTAGACGTAACAAGTTTAGGGACAGTTCAAATGCTGATGGGCCAAAAAATGTGTGGGCGGAACTTGGCTAAGCTAAGTGCGAATCACTTAACCACGGCGTCCCGCTTCGAATTTCACTTTTTTAAAAATTAGCATTTTCAATCAAAAAAGCGAAGATCTGAGTAAAAGGTGGAAGATCCACGAGAAGTGTCAACGAGATGATGTTCGAGACCAGGCAGATGCTGAGAAGAAATGAATAATGGGCCGAGGAAAGACGCCGTAAATTGTGAAATATTGATCGCAAAAAAGCAGCCCCATTTCAGGAACCCCATCATTCACAACTGCTTGAATTATTCTTCCGATCGAAGTTAAATTCAATTCGTAGAAGTGAAATACACGACTGGCCTGGGAGAAGAAGAGTTCAGTTCATTCGGTCATCTCCAATCTGTGCACCCTTGATCTGCACAGGACAGGATACCTGGACTTTTGGCGAGAGCGCCCACTACTATCGTTACACATCCATGGTTCAATACAAAAAAGTTCTGCATTATTTGGGATTCGATAGGAGAATTTCTGGGTTGCCGTTCTAAAATTCTTCACTTTTGATCCCTTCTTGGGAAAGATTAGAAGGGGTGAAAGGAAAAGGGTTTGATCAGAGCCTCGTCTCCTTCCATTCATCATGTCGCGTAGATGGTTAAAGAAACACGATCATGGGGCTGGGTATTTTTGAATTTTATACCACATTTTAGTTCATTCCTGAACATATAGTAAAACACAAACGATACAGAGAAAGGACGGAAGTGGTGTAGTTGCAAGTGATGCACTATCACGCACATATGGGCACGGGTTCGCATCCCGCATTCATATCCGCCCAGGCCAAACAAGCCTACGAGTTCGGCTGATTGGTGCCACATACGTCCTGGAGGGTAGAAGCTCAGACTCAAACATTGGCTGACCACCACAAGTGATTGTATAGGACATGTACGCATTCAATTCGTCACTACGATTCTGAATGGAAGCCCAAGGTATTCACCTTTATCCTTTATATAACATTGTGAAAAATCACACTTCATTACTAAGTAAC